ACCGTGCCTGTGCCCCCGCGGCGTTGCACAACCGCTGTGGGTGGGTGGGTGGGTGCGGACCCCTCGGTGCCGCCCCCCGGTTGCGGGGCGCGGGTGCGCGCATGGCCCGCTCTTGTCTCGCAGCGCCTGTGCAGCCCCCGGTGTCACTCGTGTGCGTGTTTGCATGAGTGTGTCACCTTGTGCGGGGTGTGTTTCTGCTCGCGGTGTCCCCCCTGCAGGATGCCCCATGGCAGGTGCTCCGTGTGTTGGGTACCCCAGCGCCCGCTGCAGGGCTCCCGGGGCCAGCCCTGCTTCCAGGGAGAACCCGCTGGCCTGGGCCTTTCCCACACCACCAGGGAATTGCATCCAAAGCCATTAGCCCGGCTCGCCGCTAACCACATCGCTGCTGGGGCCGGTGCCACTGGCACCTGAGCCACCTTTTCAGAGTGACGGGGTGGGTGGCACTCAGCGAGCTGCTGTGCTGGGGGTGGTGGGGGCTCGCAGGGCTGTGGCCAGCCCCGTGCCTGTTAATTTTCCCAGAGAGGAATATATGGAGCATCGGGCGAGGGCTGGGACGCGCGTCCCTAAATCGTGTGGTTTCCAGCCGGCCTGTGAGATGCAAATTGTCTGGTCAGAGAGTGCCAGAGCTAAACTTAGGGCAATTACAGGAGAGTGTGGGCACACAGCAGTGTGTTCCTACACCCCAAGGCTGGCCCTGGCACTCTGGCATTGGGGGACCCCTGGCCACTGCCCCATCCCAGCTCCCATTGGGATCTGGGTGTTCCCACAGCACCTGCATCAGCTCTGGACTTTGCCCACTGACGAGCTGTGGCTCGGCCCTTCACCTTTGCCGTGGGCTGGGCCATGCAGAGCACCAGATGTGAATTTGGGGCCAGATAAGGGTGATGAGGGAGCTGTGTGCCCTGTGCTGAGGGGACTGCAACCCACCTGACCCCTCCAGCTGGTCATGGAACCATGTCCCACCTGGCATTCCTGCCAAGATCCTGCCCCACTACCTCTGGGTCTACCCTGTAAGACCTCTTGAGCTGTGCCATTCCCCAGCTTTGAGGCGAGGCACGTGCTTGAACCCCATGCACCCTCCTGGCCTGGGGTGACCCCTTGTAACCAGTCTGGGTGCCCTTTGCTGTTGGATATGGGGTTCCTGCAGCA